CTGGCTTTTGGGGGGTGTTTAAAGCTTTGATTCTGAGGTAAAATGTTAGGAGAACCTGTGTAATGGTCAGAACTGAGATGCTTAAGTCCTTACTGGGGGGTTTTACCCCAGCACCAAGTCACTTAGTGACAGTGAAAGGTGTCCTCAGAGAACCTAAAACCATCTCACATTTTAAAAATAATTTTTCAGGGCACCTGAGTGGCTCAGTCAGTTAAGCATCTGAATTCAGCTCAGGTCATCATCTCACAACTAGTGAGTGTGAGCCCCATGTCGGGCTCTGTGCTGACAGCTCAGAGCCTGGAGCCTGCTTTGGATTCTGTGGCTCCGTCTCTCTCTGGCCCTCCCCTACTCATGCTCTGTTTCTGTCTTTCAAAAATATATAAATGTTAAAAACATTTTTCTAAAAAAATATTCTCAGTATAGGGCGCCTGGGTGGCTCTTCAGATTCTGTGTCTCCCTCTCTCTGCCCCTCCCCCGCTCATACTCTCTCACTCCTTCAAAACTAAACATTTAAAAAATAAAAAATAATTTTTCAATTGTTTTTTTTTTTATTGAGAGAGAGGGGAGGGATGGAAGGAGGAAAGGAGGGATGGAAGGAGGGTGGGAGAACATTAGCGAGGGAAGGGCAGAAAGAAAGGGAGCCAGGCTCCACACTGTCAGCACAGAGCCCAATGTGGAGCTCCATCCCATGAAATGTGACATCATGACCTGAGCTGAAACTAAAGGTCAGACGTTGAACTGACTGAGCCATTTAGGTGCCTCTTAAAAATTTCATTTTATTTCAGGAGACTGTAAGTATTTCCTTAGGAAATACTTGGAAATAGTAACTATCAAATGGCAGGGCTAGGTCTTTCTTGTCATAGCTGAGTGGCTAAAGAACCATTTCAGAAGTTGAGGCATATCCTGCTGGCAACCACACCTTTTGGATTCCAACGTGCTCTTCAGAAGTAGCTTTAATATGTACAAATGTACATGATTGTATCACAAAATAAACAGTAGCGTGAAATGTCTCCTGATTCCCACCTTCCACTTAAGACTTTTGCCTTTTGGTGAGAACATTGTTCCTTCATCTTTTCTCTAAGTCGTACATGTAGTTCACTGTTCACCCCACTGGATCCTTTTTGCCCCTGGCATCCTCTTGTGGCTGCCACCGAATCACTGGCCACACTGCATAGCTTATCAGCTTGCTTTTCACTTAAGTAAAATTCACCTCACATACAATTAACCATTTGAAAGTGAACAATTCAATGGCTTTCAGTATGTCCACCTCTATTTTGTTCCAAAAAATTTTCTTCGCCCCAAAAGGAAACCCTGCTCTCATTTTTTTAATGTTTCTTTTTGAGAGAAACATAGACAAAGACAGCATGCAAATGTGTAGGAGAGGGGACAGAGAGAGAGGGAGAGACAGAATCCAAAGCAGACTCCAGGCTCTGAACTGTCAGCACAGAACTGAACACAGGCCTTGAACTCATGAACTGTGAGATCATGACCTGAGCTGGAGTCGTATGCTTTACCAAATGAGCCACGCAGGTGCCCCAACCCTGCTCTCATTAAGTGCTCAGTCCCCATCCTTCCCTCCTCCAAGGCCCTAGCAACCACTAATCTACATTCTATCTCAATGAATTTATCTATTCTGAATATTTCACATAAATGGAATCATACTAGTGGGCTTTTACAATCTGGCCTCTATCGCTTAGCATGATGTTTTATAAGTCCATTCATGCTCTAGCGTCTATCAGTACTCCATACCATTTTGGGGAGCTGAAGTAATAGTCCACTGTGTGGGCAGATCACAGTTTCAACATGTGAAACTTGAGCTATAGATGGACATTTGGGTTGCTTTCATCATTTGGTTTTTGTAAAAAATGTTTCTACAAACATATGTGGGCATTTACTTGTTAGAGCTCCTCTTCTAGTTCCTTAAGTGTGGAAGCAATAGGTGTTTATGTTTTCTGGATTATTAGACTGTCAGATCCTTTAGGACAGGGGAGCCGAAGGCAACTTGCTGTCCTGGTGTGCCTGGGACTGTGGGGTCTCCCAGGACATAGGACTCTCAGTGAGGAAACTGTGAAAGCCCCAGGCAAACCTGGAGAAGTCAGTCACTCTGCTAAGGTCTAGCACATTATGTGACATGGAACCACTACTCAGGAAATATTTCTTAGATAAAGAATTTTTTGCCATTTACTCAACCATGACATGCCTTAGTATATTGAGACTCAGCACGTTTATAACAACCTGTAAGATTATAGAAATCTACACCTTCAGTGAAGTAGACACATATACAGAAGGGAGCATTGAAGTTTTAAAAAGTGAAACCACAGGTTGTTGCAGCATTAAGCCCACTTGGTAAAGATGCCCAACAAGTGACATCCCTGCGTTGATGAGAGAAAACTGCTCTATGTGTCAAAAAATGAAAAAAATATTGTTCCCTTTTCCTGAATGAGATTGGGCAGATCAGAAAAATACCACCCATAAGAGTGGCAACTACTATCCCTTTAGAGAGAAACAGAGGCCTGTGGGAACCTGAAGAGCATTCAGGCAAGGATGGAAATTAGCCCGAGGGCTTTGGTTCTACCCAAACAGAGATTCAGCAGACCCCTGACCTTGGAAGGAAAGGAGCCCTCGAGTTCTGTGCCATTAAGAACAGCAATGAGGTAGTACACACCTCACTGTCTATCACACACCTGTTAGAATACTTCATATATAGACACACACACACATGCAGGAGAGAGAGAGAGAGAGGGAGAGAGAGAGAGAGAGAGAGAGAAAGAGAACAGTTGTTAGCGACAACATGGAGTAAAGGAAACCCTTGTGCATTGCTGGTGGGAATACAAAATCGTGTGACAACTATGGGAAACAGTATAGAGGTCCCTCAAAAATGAAAAACAGAGAGGCGCCTGGGTGGCTTAGTCGGTTAAACGTCCGACTTTCGCTTAGGTCATGATCTCGCGGTTCGTGGGTTTGAGCCCCGTGTCGGGCTCTGTGCTGACTGCCAGCTCAGAGCCTGGAGCCTATTTCAGAGTCTGTGACTCCCCCTCTCTCTGACCCTCCCCTGCTCACGCTGTCTCTCTCTCTGTCTCTCTCTCTCTCCTAGAAATAAATAAATAAATATTTTTAAAAAATGAAAAACAGAATTGCCATATGATCAAGCAATCCTACTCCTGGGTACATATTCAAAAGAAATGAAACCAGGATCTCAAAGAGATACTGCACTCCTGTGTTCACTATAGCATTATTCATAATAGCCAAGATATGGAATCCATCAAAGTGTCCATGAGCAGATGAATAAAGAATATATGGTATATGCATACAAAGGATTATTCTGCCTTCAAAAAAATGAAATCCTACAATTTGTGACAACATGGATGGACCCGAAGGACAGCATGCTAAATGAAATCAGCCAGTTGCAGCAGGTCAAATACTGTATGATCCCACTTACATGAGAAATCTAAAATAGTCAGACTCATAGAAGCAGAGAGTAGAATGGTGGTCACCAAGGGCTGGAGGCAGGGGAGACATGAAGGTATTATTCAAAGGGTATAAAGTTTCACTTATGCAGGATGAGTAAGTCCTAGAGAGCTGCTGTATATACAGCATAGAACCTATAGTTAGCAGTATCAAATTATATACTCAAATGTTTTCTGAGAGTATATCTTATGTTGCATTCTTATCACTAATAATAATAATTATAATTATAGTTATTATTATTATAAAGGGGGCAGGAGGAATCTTCTGGTGGTGATAGAAATATTTATGGCATAGACTGTGGTAACAGTTTCACAATGTGTATTTATTTCCAAACTCATCAAGTTTATATGTTAAATATGTATAGCTTTTGTATGTCAATCATACCCCAAAGTAGTTTAACATTTTTTAAAAAAATGTTTTTTATTTATTTCTAGGAGAGAGAGAGAGAGAGAGAGTGTGTGTGAGCAGAGGAGGGTCAGAGAGAGAGGGAGGCACAGACTCTGAAACAGGCTCCAGGCTCTGAGCTGGCAGTCAGCACAGAGCCTGACGTGGGGCTCGAACCCACGAACCGTGAGATCATGACCTAAGCAAAAGTCGGACGCTTCACCAAGCCACCCAGGCACCCCAGTAGTTTAACATATTTAATAATGTTTTTTAAAAGCACATAGATGAGAAGAGCTATAAATCCTGACAAGACTCTGAACTTACAGGGACCACAGGAAAGCCTGAGAGTTTGTGTATTTGAATGTCCTCACATAACTTGATGGCATCTCAGCCAATGTGTAAGATGTGTCTGGAGGGAGGCCAAGGCAAGGTCAGGGATTACACAGGACCATGAGAGACACAGAGGAGGAGAGACAAAGGAAGTGGAAACATCAGGACAGATGCACCTAAGGACTTTACCAATCCTCATGTGGATACACAGTATTTGTGCTTGGAGATGACCTCATATTTCCATCAACGATCCTGTAGGCTGTATGCCATTACGCAGACTCAAACATTCTAAACTTGTTCTCACATACAGAAATTCAGCCTAGGGAACCCCTGCTGATAAAGCCATCTGGAGAAAGTGAAAAAAGGAAATTGTGTGTGTGTGTGTGTGTGTGTGTGTGTGTGTGTGTGTATATACACACATAACATATATACATATATACATATATATATGCACACAGATGTACACACACACACACACATATATATATATAAACACACAAATGTGTTTTTATAAGGAGAGTGTATGCATGTACTTTCAATCCTTACAACACTTCAGAAAGGTATACACTCTTAGTATCCCCATTTTATTACACGGAAATGGAGATTCAATAAGCTCAAGGAATTTCCTCAAAGTCCTGATATGATAAACACAGGAGCTGAGATTTAACTCTGTTCTTTCCATTCTATCACACTTCCTCTCTCATGTCCAACTAACTTTTCCTTTCTGGATGCCCTCAACAGAGAGATGGAGTCAAGGCTCACTTTCTACTGAGGGTCAGCAGCCCCTTTTCCACAAGGGGGTATTAAATGAGCCTTACTTCTGTCTGAGAGACCACACATTACCTCAATGTGCATTCATAACCTCTTTCCACCATGTCCAAAAAGCAAAGGTCCTTGGCTAGATTAGGATGTCAAATTTATCATTCCCTGTCTCTTCTGACATCCAAAACCTTGTACTTGCAACACATCATTTCTTTATTAGTGATCAGCAGAACTGTGCTCACAGAAGCTTTCCTATTCTGGGTCTTAATTTTGTACATTTCCAGTTTCCATGGAGACACTACATTCTTGCATTCTAAGAGTGTCACTGTAAAACAATGTGAAAACAAAGCAACTTCATAGAAATGGCTCACTCTGGACATCACCAGGCAACACTCTCATCAAATACATAGGACCACTGTACTGCGTTTTGGGGTTAATTGCTGAGGCCAAGCTCCCTTCTTTCTCCCCCAATCTAAGAGATGCTTTTCATGCCCATACTGGGGACCAAGTTCACAGTTATGAGAGCATCTCCAGCTCTTCCTGCTTCAATTATTGCACCACTGTTATAATAAAGTCGAGAGGTAACTATGGCAACATTATTCCAAGGATAAATACCACCATATCGCCTTCAACTTTCCCCCCTGCACAAACAAATGAAAAATCAAGAACACATAGGATTAATAGCATCACTTGTTAAAAAACCAATGGACAGCAGAGTTCAGAAAAGCTTTAATTAGTGGAGTCTTTCCTGGCTCAGTTTAACAGTTGCTCTGTGCATCCCACAGAGAAAGTACATGTGGGCAATCAGCCTCAGAATTCAGTATCACTGAACCTAGACACCATGAGGCATCCAAACCTGGGTTTCTGGAAGTTCGCAAGGTGTCTGGAGTCTGCTTCCACTAGAAGATTAATGTTGTAGGCAGGGGTAGGGGCTTACCCTGAAGTAGAGAACTTCATGATGCATCAGGTTCAGCTACAGTGGTGATGACCACAGTATAGAGAAGAAGGGTCACCATCAGAGCTTCCCACTGCTTAAGACCGAATAGAAGTCATCTAGCACAATGGTTAAAAGTATGGACTTTAAAATAAGACACATGACTTAAATGGAAGACTGCTCTTCTACTTATAGGCTCTTTGACCTTAAACAAGTTACTTAACCTCACTAAGTCTCAGTTTTCTTATCTATAAAGTAGGGATGATGGCAAACCTCATAGCATCATTGTAAGGATTAAATGAAATCACATGTGTGACTATCCACCAAACCCATCTCCTCTTGGGTCATATCTATTTTACATTTCCTAGCTCACTGTGACTGAGTTATGACCAAGGAAATATGACTTGCAATGATGTGTTCTTCTAGAGTCGCCCATGAAGAACTTCCTACCTCCATGTTCTTCCCCCCTTGCTGGCAACATATCAGCACCAAGGAAAGCTATTCAGTGATTATGGCAGAGTCTAAAATCATCTGGGTCTTCATTTTGTGACTCAGTCAACCTGAATGACCACATGGAACAAAGCTTCCCAATCCTTTGTCAACCAAGATCACCTGAATTAAATTGCTACCAACAAGGAAAGAAAATTTTATAATGTTTATTTGAAAGAGAAAGAATGTGAGTGTGCTCATGAGCTGGAGAGGGAAAGAGAAAGAAGAAAGAGAGCCACAGGCAGGCTCCTTGCTGTCAGTGAAGAGCCCAATGCAGGGCTCAGTCTAATGAACCATGAGATCACGACCTGAACCAAAACAAAGAGTTGGATGCTTAACAGACTGAGCCACCCAGGGGCCGTCAGAAAGAAATTTCTGTTGTGCTAAGCTAACACAGTTAGGGATTTACTTATTTTATCATCTAACAAAACCCCTGATTATACAAATGGAACATGCTTAGCTCAGTTTCTGACATGCAATGAACACTCTGTACCTGTTAGGTGTATTACTGAAAAGAAGCCACTTTTTCTGCAACGCTGGCCAATCTGCCAAGAACTCTGGCAAGTAACATCTCCATTGACTGCATGGAATCTATTTGATTCATAGAGTGAGGTGTAAGCTTTTCTGCTGCAATAAGTAATGAAGTACAAATTGAGGAAATTAGTTATCAATTAGTCATTCGATGGTTGGGAAGGCAGGCAGCAGGCATAAATGGTGCCAGATTAGTTAGGCCACGATAAATTTTATTGCTCTACAAGGATTGGGTCTTTATCCATTACTTCGCAAATTTATCTTTATTATTGGCCCCAGGACATGAGACAGGGCCTGGATATAGAAGGAGGTAAGAGACCAGCCAGGGTATTTGGGAGATGCAACAACCTCCACAGCAAAGATGGTCTCCAATGAGGCCATTTATGAGCCACTGCAAGGGGAAAAGGCACCGGGCAAGTCGTGCTCATCTTTCCTCACTGCCCTCTCTGTAGGGTTTCCCATTTTTCTAGCAAATTCCCACAGTTTGCGTGCCCTTTACCTATAATTACCATGCCATACTATAATCCCATGGCACCCTGCAAAGTCAACCCACTACAGGGGGTAAGACTTTTCTGTTCATCTGTAAGATGTAAGAACTGGGCTCACAGAAATTAAGTAACCGATAAAGGAGAGGGCTTGAACCCTTCTGATCTGGGAGTCCCCATGGCTGCCTTTGTCTTTGCATGTCTTCTGGTGTCTAGCACAGAATTCCCTCATTTTTTCCCCATAGTTTTCCATTATGCTTATTATGGTAGCCAAATTTTCACCATAACCTTGAGACCCTCCAACGTCTGCTGCCTGCCTGCTCTCTAACTTTATTTCCTGTTCCTCTCCTCGCCTCATCATGCCTTCCACCTCTGAATAAATTGGACATAAGTTGATAAAATTAATTCCTAGGGGAAATGGTCTTCTTTTACGGTCAACAAAGGCCCTTTAGCTCATAGGTAAAGTTTCAAGAGAAGCCATTGGCTTACTCTATATAATACCCAATAGCCACACTGCACCAATGATTCATTAAAAAGGATCAGGATAGACCAAAGCAATGGGCTTCTAAGGGAGACTCTCCCAGTCTTGACTCCAATCTAACCCTGACTCAGCTGCCAGAGTCATCAATTAACCACCCCCCCCACACACACACACCCACTTTATAATAGGTAATTTGCACCTGGCACTAACCAGGTACAAGGAATAACACTAAGAATGTTACATATGTTAACACATTTAATAAGAATTTTAAAGGTACATTACGATTATTATTCTGAATTTACTGATGGGGCTTAAAAAGGTTAAGTAGTTTGTATGTAGCAGACCAGAGATTCAAAACCAATTTTTCTGGGGCACCTGGGTGGCTCAGTCAGTTAAGCATCCAATTTCGGCTCAGGTCATTATCTCACAGTTCGTGGGTTCTAGCCCTGCATTGGGCTCTGTGCTGACAGCTAGCTCAGAGCCTGGAGCCAGCTTCAGATTCTGTGTCTCCCTCTCTCTCTGACCCTTCCCTGCTCGTGCTGTCTCTCTCTCTCTAAGAAATAAATAAAATATTTTTCTAAAAAAACAACTTTTCTGGCTTTAAACTACCATATTTTTCCAACTCCACTAAAATTCTATGGCCAAGATTACCCTCAAAACTCTTCTAAAAGTTTCCCATAAAGTGCCATGCATGTGTTTTTGCATTATTAATACTTGTACATTAACTCACTCACTAAACCTATCAAGCTAGATTAGAAAAAGAAATCAAAAAAGAAAGGCTATATGCTGACATTAGATAATTATCATATACCTAAAGGTTAATGGGTAAGGAGTAGAGACTCTCATATTATTCTTGCTTTCCTATAAGGTTCGGGTCTTTGATTTCCCTAGTAAAACTCTATGACTTCAATACAGTTCTCTACTTATTTATGGATATGATAATTAAATGAGCTTGAATGATATAATGGAGTGGTACCTTATATAGAGAATAGCAATAGTGTGCTAGTAAATACTTAATAACCAGATCTCTGAGGAGAGGAAATCACCAATCTGTAGCATTTTCTAGTTTCTATGGTGTAAATACTCCCACTGTGGCCAATCTCAAGCTGCCAGTATGACATAAACTAGCTGGCAGATTTCCTTAAAAGTTAACCATGAGCTCTCAGCATCTAGGACAAGCTGGCTCCAGCACACCACGAGAAAACAGGTCCTAAGAGACAGCTCTTAGGAAGAAAAGCAATTCCACTGTACATAGTGACAAGGACTCTCTCTGCCATATGCAAATAGAGTTGTAACTCTTTCTCAAATGAAAAATATATCTAAATTCTATGCAATTATATTCTAAGTTCTTGGGACTAAACAGTAAAATAATAGCAAGTAATATATAAAGTTTGTAGAATTTGAAGACAACTTATATCAACAAAGATTTTTTTCTCTTAAATGTTCTACATAGTGGCACTAAACCCTTTATTTCTAGATTTTTAATAAGCACATTGTAAAGACTGAGTTGTACCAGAAGGAAGCCATCATTAAATCATAGTGTATGAACACACACACATGCACACACAGAGATTTGCACTCTTTTTTGAACACTGTTCATGTTCTCCTTTCTTGTCAATTTCTTGCAGTTTACTTTGAAATTCAATATACATTTCTTTTTTTTAAATATTTTTATTTATTTCTAGGAGAGAGAGAGACAGTGTAAGCAGGGGAGGGTCAGAGAGAGAGGGAGTCACAGACTCTGAAACAGGCTCCAGGCTCTGAGCTGGCAGGCAGCACAGAGCCTGATGCGGGGCTCGAACCCACGAACCGCGAGATCATGACCTAAGCGAAAGTCGGACGCTTAACCGACTAAGCCACCCAGGTGCCCCTCAATATACATTTCAAAGTTGTATAGATCCAGTGTAGACAAAGTCTGAAATTCCATATCCAGACTTGTCTAAATTACTCAATAGTTTCATGAAATCCATACTGCTTCCCCTTTTCAGTCTAACAGGGTTCTCTTATCAAACATAATTCAAAGAGTTGAATTACCAGCTTTTTCTGAAACTTCTATAAAATGCTTGCTCATCCCTGATTTGGGGGGCCATTCCCTCTAGAGGGAGAAAGTAAGGATTCTGTGACACATGAAGCAAACTACCTCCTGGAAAGCACAGTGCCATGACTATGAGGGTCCAACAGTTCTATGAGTGGCGAAAATGGAAGGGAGCTCTTCAAATGGTTTTAATATTCACATGTTTATGATCAAAGATAAACTCTGTCGATTTTGAGTCAATGTGGGTTTTTTTCTCTCCTCTTAGAATAGTTGATATTATATAGATAG